AAAGGTGGCTAAATTTAGGTAAGTTGGCAAGCTCTACCTTGTATGTTCTTAAATTCAGGATGCCCACCCCATCCTCTGAAATATGTACTAGTTCCATTCAAAATGTTGCCCCACTTTTGTTAGTTTAAAAACTTGAGACTTTTCCTCCTCTTAGCTATGAATACTGATATTCTGCATGACACCGCAGAGAACCAAGACTCACTGACATACAAGCAGCTTCCCCCATCAACCCCCCAAATGGGAAATTTAGAATTAATATTTCAGACTGATAAACCCAGGAGAGAAGCGATTGGGTCACAGTAGAGGCAGGGGGGGAAAAATAAAACACAAAGATCAAATATTTACTGAAAATTTGGTCAAGTACCTTCAGGAAGCAAAACATGAAAGCTTTCCATGAGTAATACAAAGTACTTAGACTTTGAACAATAATCTAGCTGTATAATTAGAGTTTGTGAAAGCTTGATTCTAATTTACCTACTTCCCCTGGAGTTCATCTCTTCTCCACAAATTACTCCTAGCTATCCGAATCCAGCACTGGCTAGTGGTGGCAGTCAGACTATGTATGGTGCACTTGTGAACAGTTTCTTTGCACATGCTCTTCGACGCATGCATTCAATGAGTCAACTAGACCAAAGCTTTCGTATATAAAAACTTTAATGCCTCAAACTCAGCTGAATATAATATGTTTGGGACCTGCAAGACTCTTTTCAAAAGACCCAATTTCTTTGAGATAGATTGTGTGTTAAGGGGATAGCTTTCTCTTCACAACTTGGGACAAAGCAGCTTCACGTGTGTAGTCTGGAAAGGTGTCCATCAAAGTAGTCCTCAAGGCCGTGCACTGGACAGCCTTACACCTCTTGCTCACCAGCCCAAAGAGACTTCACAGCATACAGGATTTGCACCAAAGGCCCATTGGTTTATTCCTAGACAATGGAACTTTAAAGATATACTGTCGCACACGGGTGCAAGCCATGAAGGGAGCTGTCCTAGAAAGGTGGTTTTCTATAGTCCCTTGCTTGCCCCATTACAATTATGGGAGACATTTGTGCTTGCAGCAGTTAAGAGCTCTTCCTCACAGCTCAACTTCACCTTTCTGCTGGAGTCTGCGGTGCTTGTAAACTTGCATTTACGACACCAGGCTGTTAATGAATTCAGCATGATAGCTTCACTCTAAGTAAGGAGCAGATGGAGCTGAGGAAGCAGGCTGGCTCAGCAACATCTTCTAAATTGGAGAACAGTGTCAAGGGAAATTAAAATCCCATGTGAAAAGCTCACTAGATGTAAGTTTTGAACTAGACATCGAAGATTCCTTGGTGCAAAATTCCCACTTCAGAAGGTGTACAATCCACAAAGCCACATGCAAGTTCAGGGAACCTTTCAGAAGTGCACACTTACAATGGTAGAACAGAATAGATACATCTCTTCAACAACTGAATTTAGGTACAAAAGTTTAATAAAAACCAGAATGAACCCTCAGACACCTCAAGAGAATAAACTTTGTTAAAGATTGCGTACATCAAGATTATACATTGAACAGGCTTTCAATGTGTTTGGTAACCATTTGGCAGGCTCCGTTCTTTAAAACGAACCTGCACGTCCCAGTTAAAACCTAGAATCTCTTACGAGGACCCCCACTGCTAATACCCAGTGAAGTAAGCAGAGCGCTTGTTCTAACATGAACAGAAAAGTGCATGGAACTTCGATGCCCTACAAACTTGGTAATGTGCCTACACTTTAAAAATAGCATCAAAGTGACAGTACACTCTTGGTGATTTAAACAGTTACAAAATTGCTTAAAACCTGTTTTATTGTATTATGTTCAATTGTCAGGAACTCTGGTTCTCACTAGGAGGCAAGTTCGCATGGGATGGGGTCTTAGTCTGTGCCATATATATGACCATCATAGGTATGTTATTGCTTGGAAATCTGTTGCAAAATATTTTGCTTTGCCCTTTAGGGCACTGGATATTAGTAAGGGAACCACCCATGTGACGTATCTGGCAGAGCTGCAACTGAAAGCCATTAGCCCAGATTCACAGAGTTTAGTACTTTGACTTCAGTTTTACATCTTGGTTACAGTATGTATTGCACAGTATACAGCCATCCAACATTCAGCTGGTGTTCACCCTCTTTGGAAGAGATTCTCTCTTTGTTGTTCAGCCTGATGGCTGCAGAAGTGGGAAGTGCCTTCCAAAACAATGCCATACTGTCTGATGTGCATATGACAGCATCTCCCATGCTAGACTCATGTTTTCACATCAAACAAGAACCATATACACGTATTAAATAGTATCAATTAGCTTCCATCCTTTCCTGCACATGGAAGTAGCACAATTCTATGACTTTTGTAGATTAACAGGATCTCTTGACTCCACCAAATCCAGGTTTTCCTGATAGGTGAACAAGGCAGGCAGCTAGGAATGGATTTCACTTATAGTGCTACACAACTGCTGAATCCACCCCCCCCATTAATAATCCATTACATACTCATTTGTAAACAGAAGATTATAGCTACACAGGAATCTTCCCCCCCCACAACTGTCGTATCTTCCCAAAACAGTAGCCGACAGTGGCTGTGATGGCATCTCCCCACAATTTTGGGGAGCTACATTTATGCAAGGAAATAGCATTGGTGGCCTATGAAGTTCAGATCAACTAATCCTTTCTGGAAACGTTACAGCTGTCCAGGAGGAGCTTACATTTCAGATCAGCGTCTTCCACTTGTACCAGTGTGTCTTACAGAAGTGGGACTTTCCATTCAGTTTAGATATACCTCAGAATACTCTGGTTTGTGCCTAGTTGTAAATTATGTACCTAGATGCTATGGCAACGGGTGCCTTTGAAATATGGCTGTTTCCATTACTGAGACTGGGATTTGTCAAATGCTTAGAATTTCAAGTTTCCTTTGGCAAAATATGAAGTAGAGGAATGCCACCTAGAACCTCACCACTACCCCAGCAGACTCCCCCAAAAATACATGAAAGAAATCAGTTCCCCATTCACTCTGGAAAATAGCTCTCTTAAGCATCCTCCCCCCCGGCTGCAAGAAACTGTCTTTACTCAAAGGCAAAGTTACAAAAGAAAAATGAAGCCCTTCATATACATAGACAGAAGCACTGAAAGTATATTTTGATATATTTGAGGTCTTCAACACTTTCAAACCCCTCGCCCATCCAAACAGATATTTACCCATGTTAACTATTGAAGTGGTGTTTATTAATATAGTTGCCAACTCACAAGACACAGGTTTCTCCGGATATGAATTTAACATCTTATCAGGAAAACTAGAATACAAGCCCACCCGCCTGCCACCCCCCATTAGGTTGCCCACTTTTTGGAACAGCAGTAGTCTGTTATAATTGCGATCTCAGTCTCTTTAGTAAGAGTGCACAGGATATATTGCAGACTTGGAATAGAGTTTTTCAAATTAAAAGATTTTTTCCAACAAGAAAAATATGCCCCCTGGCCAAAAAACTTTGCTATATGCATGGAAACAGTCTAAAAATGCTAACGTAAAAACACCATTTACACAATAGGCATCTGGCAGCATTTTCAGATTTTTTTAATTTATTCTGACATGCTATAAAGGAATAAATTACACTGTTAAAGAATTACCAGCAATAAAAGTACTTTTCTTTCAGCTGGGCTAAAGTAAGAGTGAGGAGGAAAGCCCAGGGCAGTAACCAATGTGAACACTGCACAGTGTGAGGCTGTCCAAGAACAAGAGTTAATTTGATTATATCCACTTCACAAGAACTTGAAAGAAAATGCCTTGGTTTAAAACCCTCCAAACACTTCCATTCTAAATTTTCAAAACTAATCACCACAAGTCAGTTCAGCCAATGCAAGACAACGGCAACACTTGTGGGCTGCCAATACTGGGGTCTTCAAAAGATGCCAATCTCTTATTATAGAGGGCTGGGTATCAATGCAGCAGGTTATAAAAAATTGCAAGACTGCCCTTTCCCCTCAAGAAAAAAAAATTAAAAACGAAAGTGAGGAAGAATTACAATACTAAATCTAAAATGATTTAGAAAGAAAAATGACTTTTTGCTTAACAAATGGCCTTGAAATTGCCTGTTTAAAAAGAACTGGGGTGGTGTTGATTTCTTTAGACTGAATTAACAAGGCAAATTTAAAAAAAAATTTCCTTACAGAAAGTTTTTAGTTTTTAATGAACTTGTAAACAAAAAAGCTCCCGTTTCAAAATAAAAACAAAATCCCAGATCATATAGATGTTTACAGTGATTACATTTATCTAAGCAACTTACATACAGGTTGAGTTGTAAGATGTTAACTAAATTTCTGTGACAAATATGCTGTTTTTCCTTTTATACCAAGAACATTATAGAGTTAATGCAGAGTCCTAAAGATTATCTAGTAGTCGCTAAGTTTCTCTTAAGTCTTCACTTTAGATGCTGTTATTTCTAGCACAGGTAAGCAGGCAGAGTCTTTCATACGCTTAAAAACTGGAATCTTTGGTTACTACCATGTCAGCTGGCTTGGTATGTTGCACATAGAAGCCAACAATTTTAAGAATGTTTTAAGTGTACAACTTTCAAAACCCAGGGAGGAATAACCAGAAAGAGTGCACAGTTGTGAGCATTTACAATTATCACAACTGTTGCTGAAGACTGTTCATGCCATTCTTCCAAAACAATGAGATCTCATAAGCAGTGTAGTTCAAAGTAAAAAGGTAACAAAAATTGGCATATGCACAATTTTCTCCACCATTTTGTGTCAACCATTTAGTTAACTTTTCCACTTGAAAAAATGCAATAGAAAACTGGACACCATGTTTCACTATCTCAGTAATTCACAATTACAGCTGCTGCTACAACTCAAAGTGCAGCATCACCAGCGCTGCCCAGAGCCAGTTTATACTGAAATTAAGTTCTTTACACCAAGTAAATGGTTGCCCACAACCACTGGCAAGTGTACGTATGAACTAAAATTTCTAGGATTTGGGGAGTGACAAGTCCTGCTCCGATCTGCTCTGCTTTGTTTGTTCCTCTCTTCATGCTCAGAAACCTGTAAGATAAACAAAGGCAACTTACTGATATTTGAAAAGAAAAACGGAACAGCCTCCGGGATGGCAGGGTTAAACACAAATAATTCTGGTCATTTACAGAGAAAATGTTGTTCCATTTTAGAACGGTATGGTCCCTGCTTTCCTTTTCTAAAGCTAAACGTGGTTTGACTGATCACTGTTCCGAACCAACATCGCATGCTTATAAATTTATAGCAACAGTACACATATGCACTAACTAGATGCAAAGTCCTTCAAATGGCCATTCAGTTTGGCAGCCAGCCATAGAATTTAAGAACAAGATGTGTTCTTGCCACTAGGAAGCAGGGTGTAATTTCACAGAGTTGTTTTCTACTTGTCTGTAATGCTGTGTGTGTGTGTGTGTGTGTGTATTTTGCAGAATGTCCCCACCGGTCACCTGATGACAGTCTCTCGGAGGAGCATCAAGTGGCAGGAAGCAGATTTGATCCCGTTCTTTGGGGCCAGCCGGATTAGAACCGTTTTGGAACTGTGCAGAAATACTTTAAAATGCCTTTTCACTCCATGAAACAACTATCAGCTGGTTTGCTTCAGATCCTTATTTTAAAAAGGCACATTGTGATGTGTTTGGAGGGAGCCACTGCTTTGGCTGGGCACCAGTTACTTTTACAGATCCCTCAGGGCTCCATTTAAGCCCTTTGTAGTTGTCTACTTATAATGGTGCGACTGGAAATGCTCAGGTTTAAGAATTGTAGGCAGGCCCCAGACTTTAAGGAACACCGTAGACTGAAGTGTTGTAGTGAGATGTTCACAAATCAAGGTGCATTTTGTTTATGAATGTCTCTGGCCATCTGATAGTTTCCCCCCCCCCCCAATTCATTTGAGAGCAGTTACTGGAAAACTGAAATTCTGTTCTCAAACAGATGCAGCCATTAGATCATTTACCACACAAGAAATCTTCAATCAAATCACCCCCATGAGGTCATTTTGATTCCCCAAAACCTTTAAAGGTGACCAGTATTTTAAAATTGGACTTGCGGCCATTGCTATTTCATGAGGGATAAAAGCCTGAAAGGTTGTTTATTTTTGTTTTTGAACTTAGAAATGCCTGACTTTTTTTGGAGGGAAGTCTGAACACTAATGACTTACTGAAGGGACTAGAATGCTGAAACTTGCAAATTTTCTTTATCCAGAGTCAATCATTGAACAGATTTTAAAAAAGAATTTTAAAACCAGCGATTAAAAAAAATCTCTTTCCTTTAACGGCTCAGCTTTTAGCTCTTGTGATGTCACCATTTCACTAGTTCTGTAGTCAGAAAGCCTTCCAGAATACACAGCACTTAGATTTCTAATGGAAACAAGCAAAAAACACTTTATGATCTGTAAAGAAAACTGAACTTCAATTAAAGAAGCCAAAACGGATTAGAGTCAAAGATTCTTTTCTTCTTTGCAACTCATCTTTAATATGCCTTATACAAATGACTGCAGCTGTATGTTTTTAGTTGAAAGATAAAGGCCCATCTGACATGCTTGTCCCAAATCATTACCCAGCTTCAGACTATTCTACCAGCCTATCAGAATGTGAAGTACACTGCACCTAATTTGAAAAGCATTTAAAACGCTCAGCATTTACACCACCTTCTTTTAAGCACCCTCATTAAAAGCTGCAGGAAAAACTACTGTTGGGCAGTCTGCATTTTTGCTGTGTGGCCGTGTCCTTCTGTTGTGATAAGCCTTAGTCAAGTTGACAAACGCTTCCTACAGTCTCAGCACTGGTTACACAGATACTGGGGCTGTACTTTGGGATGTCACGCTGATAAGACTGGCAACCACAATCTGGTATGTACACTTCCCCCCTGCATTCTGGTCACAATACCATCCAACACTAGTACCATTTTGCCGTATCATTTGTTCAGGTGCCTCTATTACTACACACCTACCACTGTTATAGGTTCACTGCATTTTGGAAGTTCTTATGCTCAGGAAATCAAACATCTTTAGAGCTTTTATCAACTCTCCATCACAGATACTCAATGTACAAGATAACACGAACAGCATGATATAAAGAAATGATTTATGGGAGATAGTGGATGAAACAAAAGGAAACAAAATGCAACAATCACATGAATCTCCTGTGTTCTGTATTACTGTTAAGGAAGGCAGGATACTCTACATCAGTGACCAAACTGTGGCCTGTGGACCACCAAATTGGCTAGTCTTGTGACAACAGTTCTTTGTTTCCAGTTGTCAAGCTGCACTAAGGACAATCAGTAGTACATGTCTTTTAAAATGAGAGAGGGGAGGAGTCAGAGCGTAAGTTTGGGAATCTTCCTAAATGCTAATAGCCTTTCAGGAACCATGGGACCAGAACTAGATTCACTAGTTTGTGAGTTTACGGTAAGGAAAGCAATCTAAAAATGACACATTCAGTAGATTTGCTGTGTATGCTTGAGTCTCATCTCTGAAAAAAGCAGCCAGTTTATAGTGATCAGCACTGCGGAGTCCATACAGCTATGGCATGATGAGCTGGGGTCTTCCGTGTCATGAAAAACCCCCATCAAAGATCAAATTGCAGATTACTGGGGATGATAAGACGCGAATTTGAGCAGGTTTTTTTTGCATTTCTGGTGTTACTAGCTAGAAAACATCTCACTAAATAACAGAACAAGTTTTATTTGAATCTGGGAAAATATGAAAGGAAACAAAAGCACATTTTTACACTGCCACTTTTGCCTAATATCAGAATTTGCTCAATTAGGTCTTAGGTACTGCCATGATCTATGAACAGCATGCCGTGTTTTGGATACAAGTACTACCAACATTAAACACCAAGGGAAAATACTGTTGCCATTTCTTGGCCTTCTTAGGCTTTAACGTCAGACGTTCTACCAGTTTGTAATATTTTAATTGACAAGAGACGCTTTCAGGTTTAAAAGCTGTTTTTTTCAGATAATTTTTGCCTCCACTTCCTGGAGGAAAGCCCAGAGTGGATGCAGTGCTCTGACAAACGAGCACAGCAGCACTTATCCAGGATACAGCGTCCTGGTACTGTAACGAACCAGCCCTCATGCTGCCTCTCCTCTGTATTGCTGATGGAGGACTGTGGGATTAACAAAGTGAGGAAGCAGATGGGAACATCCCCACCACAGAAGACACAAGAGACAGGTCTCATGCTGTGGAATCCATGAACCTGCTTAATGCTTTCCTCTAGCAATCCTGAACATACAAGAAGTGTTAGAGGAACTACTGGGGAGGGAGCAAGAAGAAGAAAAGATTACAGAGTAGGTGCTCCCACCACACAAAGAGGATCCATTTCTTGGTTCTGGTAACTGTCCAGTCCTTGGATGAAATGGGAGAATTGGGACAATCATAGAATACCAGGGTTGGAAGGGACCTCAGGAGGTCATCTAGTCCAACCCCCTACTCAAAGCAGGACCAATCCCCAATTTTTGCCCCAGATCCCAAATGGCCCCCTCAAAGATTAAACTCTCAACCCTGGGTTTAGCAGACCAATGCTCAAACCACTGAGCTATCCCTCCCCACAATGTCTTCCCACAAAAGCATGTCCCAACAGTTTGTTGAGACCCTGCGGTCTACTACCTTTCTCTGCATAGAGCAGTGTAAGTGGCTTTCAGATGAGAAGGTTTCCCGGCTTCCCTCTTAACTACTTTTCCCTACCCACCAGTTAGCTGACTACGGTTTTACTTTATAGCCCTAGGACTGACCATCACAAGCTAACAATTAATTAATCATGATTAATCGCACTGTTAAACAATAGAATACCATTTATTTAAATATTTTTGGATGTTTTCTACATTTTCTAATATATTAATTTCAATTACAACACAGAATACAAAGTGTACAGAGCTTATATTTATTTTTGATTAGAAGTATTTGCACTGTAAAATATCAAAATAGTATTTTTCAATTCACCTAACAGAAGTACTGTAGTGTGATCTCGATCTTGAAAGTTGAACTTACAGATGTAGGACTATGTACAAAAAAACCTGCATTTAAAAAAAAAATTTTAGAGCCTGCAAGTCCACTCAGTCCTACTTCTTGTTCAGCCAATTGGTCAGATAAATAAGTCTATTAACATCTGCAGGAGATAATGCTGCCCGCTTCTTGTTTACATCACCTGAAAGTGAGAACAGGCGTTCTCATGGCACTTTTGTAGCTGGTGTTGCAAAATATTTACATGCCAGGTGCGCTAAAGATTCGTATGTACCTTCATGCTTCAACCACCATTCCAGAGGATGTGTCCATGCTGATGACAGGTCCTGCTCGATAACAATCCAAAGCAGTGCAGACCAACATTCATTTTCATTATTTGAGTCAGATGCCACAAGCAGAAAGTTGATTTTCTTTTTTGGTGGTTCAGGTTCTGTAGTTTCTGCATTGAAGTGTTGCTCTTTTAAGACTTCTGAAAGCATGCTCCAAACCTTGCCCCTCAGATTTTGGAAGACACTTCAGATTCTTAAACCTTGGGTCCAGAGCTGTAGCTATTTTAGAAATCTCATATTGGTAACTTGTGTTTTCTGAAATCTGTTCTGAAAGTGTTCTTAAAATGAACATGTGCTGGGTCATCATCCGAGACTGCTATAACATGAAATATGGCAGAATGTGGGTAAAACAGAGCAGGGGACATTGAACTCCTCGGGGGGGAACTGTGCCAAATTTAATTAAAACAAGTGTCATCAGTATGGAAGCATGTCCTCTGGAACGTTGGCCAAAGCATGAAGGGGCATACGAATGTTTAGCTTATCTGGCACGTAAATACCTTGCAATGCCGGGTACAAAAGTGTCATGTAAAAGCTTGTTCTCACTTTCTGGTGACACTAAATAAGAGAGCAGCATTATCTCCCGTAAATGTAAACAAACCAGTTTGTCTTAGCGGTTGGCTGAACAAGAAGTAGGACTGAGTGGACTTGTGGGCTCTGAAGTTTTACATTGTTTTGTTTGAGTGCAGTTATGTAAAAAACCAAAAATCTACATTTGTAAGTTGCACTTTCACAACAAAGGCTGCACTACCGTACTTGTATGAGGTGAACTGAAAAATACTATTTTTGTTTATCATTTTTAAAGTGCAAATATTTGTAATCAAAATATGCACTGATTTTGATTACAACACAATACGATATATATGAGAATGTACAAAAACATCCAAAATATTTAATAAATTTCAATTGGTATTCTATTGTTTAACAGTGCAATTAATTTGAGTTAATTGCGATTAATCAACAGTCCTAATACATATACACACATATTTATTTATGCAATTTTAGTTTAATAGTTTCAGATTAAGCAATATCATTCACTGTTTTCTAGCATACTGAAAATGTACAATTATTTACTGGATAATTAACTTTTGCCTATAATTTGAATCATGCTGCATTAGGACAGCAGCTGGAATTTAAACACAGAAAACAGCATTTTTATTCAACAAAACTTTGCTTATCAAAACATATTTCACATTTACAACTAAATGATTTAGGAAACAGAGGGATTAACTGCGTTTAGCAGTGATTAAATTTCAGGTCAGCTCCTGTTACTTTCACTTTAGCACATTTGCCCAGGCTGAAGTTCCTTTTCGCATAAGTCTCTTGAACATGAGAGAGTCTCCTACATTTCTTAGGCCCTCCTTCAAACCTTTAGATTTCATCCCTTCCCTTCGTTTTTATTCATAGACTAGAAGAGGGACTAGCTTTCCTGCTTTTTCGACTCCTAATTGATTTCTCAAATTTGAATTAGTTCAAATAAAGCAAATATTCACTGTGCCTGCAGAAGAGGCTACTGCTGTCAAAAGCAGGTTTAGCACTTCAAAAAACTCTGGTTCCAGGTGCTTAACTAGTGACAGCCACCAGTTCAGTGGTATGACTTTGTTTAAATCATTAGCAAACGTGTATGGCTTGAATGGTTTACCTCCAGCCCTGAAATTTATTGTGGTTGGCATGACTGATGAGTGATTATTAGATGCCAGTAGTATAGTAGCACCTTCAGCAGTTAAAGCATCTACCCTGGTACTTTGCATTGACAATATTGACAAGAAAAGGAGATTGAGTAAATGATTGATCCATCTGCTTCCTTACTGCCTGCAATTTAAAATTTGTTGTTCATTATTTCCTTTCCTCAATGTCTCCTGATGTTCCTTTCTAAATTTCAACAGCATCAGCAATACAGCAATCTTTCTGCAGTTTATCCAAGGCTACAGAAAGTGGTTTCAGTATATGCAGCATGTATTCTACATTTCTCTTCAGTCTGATGTTGACTACTTCAGCTGTGATAGTTCCATCTATTTTGCCAACAATTTGCTTCACAAATAGTCATCAAAACAGGTCAGTTCTTAATAAATACCTCAAAAGTCAACTACTAATCCCATTGTACATATTGGGTGAGAATTGGTTTGGATCCTCCTCCTCCTCTCTTCAGCAAAGCTGAAGTGGTTGTTAGGGAATTATTTTGAAATTTCAACATTTTCATTTATTCCTGGAGGTGAACTTCGGCTAAAAGATTAATCAAATGAGCACTGCAACCCCAAGTTATAAGTTTTAGGGTCCCTTCATTATTTTCTTCTGGATATCTTCTCATCTTTGCTACATTTGCAGCATTGTCTATGATGCTACACACTTTAATTTTTGTTCAACTTGTTATAGCTTTTACTGCTACTGATAAGTATTCTGCTATGTGGATATTTCCTGATGTATCAATTGTTCTTGTAAGATAGACAACCCCATCTTCTGTTGTCACACAAGCACAGATTATTGGATCATTGTGTACGTTGCTCCACTCATCAAGACTCAGATTAATGAAATTTCCCGTAAATTTTTTTTGCACACAGTGTTCAATTTCATTCTCACACTCTGTGTCCAGTAACTTTCCAGCATGGTCTGCTCTGCCAGTAGTGTGTAGCCTCATCATAACGACTGCGCCACATCAATGAAATGTTTGCTCTGAACAAGACGAAAGGGAGAATTTGTTGCATAAATGAACCAAGCAATCTTGTCACCAAAGGAGTCTGGTTGGAATGGGCTGATCCTGATTACTAACGCATCCATGGTTTTACTGGATAATGAAGAAAGTCTTTTCTTGATTCAGGTAATTTACTGTCTGACGCATATTTAGTTGCGGCAATCTAGTGGTACCGGCAGATGATGACTCTGAAGTTGTAAACACTGCAGACAGATGTTCATAAACCCTTATTGTCTAAGATGGACCCTGAAACAAAATGGTAAACGTCACTAATTAAGTATTACTCAGTGTTGCTTATAATAAAGTATATATAAAACATGAAACACGCATCCTACTGGACCTGTTTGTTCCACTGTTTAAATAATTTATTCCGAACCTAGTTTTATTGGAAAAAAGTCATGAGAATTATCCAATTCTATTGAAAAACCCTCATTTCTAGAAACATACCAGACAGCGTGAAAATAAAAACCCCTTTAAATGTTAAAAATTCATAAATGCCTAATCAAACTCTACTTTTGTTTGATTATACTGCGCAATAAAAAAGTCATTTCAGAAGTCCACCAGTAACAGTAAAAATGGAATCGATAAATATTCCCACAACAAATTAATATACCAATTATATTGTGAACACAAAAACTTTGAAGTTGGTAAGTAAATAATCTACCCAAAACACTGGTGTGTGACAATAAGCTAAGTTATCATTCACTAACATAGTAAGACATGGTAGGCAGTCCATAAGAATGGTGGAAAAATAAGTTTACTAACCAGATAATCCAGATTGTTCAGATATGTCCACATCATCTTCAAAATCACTGCCTTCTGAAGAGCATTTTGCATCATGCTTCATTCTGACAACCAGACCTTGCATCTCTGTTGTGCTGCTTACATTTAGCATATGATGTTCCTTTTATACCCAGGAGGTACAATTTTTGTTTGTTTTGTAAATATGACTTGCAGTCTCTTTCCTCCTCTATTCCCAAGTGTTGAAATGAACAGAGAAGGAGTTCTCAGGATAAATGTTTTGGTGGCCGCGCTATGAGGCCACCAACTTTTGCTGGTGGCTACTCATATTTTTTCCCTAAAATATTTGTAGGATGGAGCCTGAAATCGTGTGTCCAGATCCTGAAACGGACAGGGGATGGGGTCTGGGATGGAGCCCAAAGCCGTGGGGCTGGAGCCTGGTGCCTGCTGCTGCACAGCCGGAGGCCGAAACATGGCCAGAGCCTTAGGCCCTGCCTCCCCAGGGCTGAAGCCCAAAGCCTGAGCCCCACTGCCCCTGGGAAGGTGAGGAACTCACTGGCTGCCTGCTCCTCCAGCGTTGTGCCCCAGGTGTCACCGGAGGGGGGCAGGATCCAACCCCTACTGGCAGCCCTCCAACCAATACCAAGGCGGTGCATCCAGGAGCAACAGGGAGGGGCCGCTACTTTGCCACTCCTTCCCTCCCCACTGTCCCCATCACGGCCCAGGAGGCTGTGGCCACAAGAAAAGCTCCGGTAGCTGCATGTGGCTACAATGGCTGCATTTGAAAAACACTGCGCTAGAGGCTGCACTCTGAAGAATGTTATCCCTTTTCCCCAGTGTCCTGTTTTCACACCAGTGTTGCACCCTTCTGCTCTTTGTCCCTGGTTACAAAACTCCTCTACCCCGCCCCAGCCCTAGCCAAACAAAAGAATTCACAATCCAAGATATAAAACAGGAGGAGGAGGAGACCTCAAGGTGGGCTCAGTGGATGATCCTGATGAGATACAGGATATCTCCTGAAGTTCGAGGCCTGGTCCAACATTTCTGATGACTGTCAGGCTCTTGCACCAAGCAGTACAGCCTGTGGGTCTACCACAGGATCAAGCTATTACAGTACATGACCTATTACATCATTTATAAAGCTCAAAAGTTAGAATCGGGGAAAATATTTTATATAGAAAAGCATCCTTTAACTCAAAGTTTTTGAGAGAGGCTCATGGATTCGGCATATGTATTTTTTATTTAAGTGTTAAGAGATTACAGCAAGTTTAAGCATTAACATATTTTGGAGTAAATTCAAACTTCATTTTAAAACAGGTTTATTTTTAAAGAGAAAATTGTTTAAAAATTTAAAACCTAAAAATCCTATTTTTGTATTTTTTCAAAAAAAAATTCACTCACCCATTTAGCAAGGAGAACCACAGAACAGTTCTTTTGCAGCTGTTTACTGAAACAAGTGACATGAATAACTGTCAAAGATTCTTTCCTTCGCTGTTTCCCTCAGTGAAGATTCAACTTGCAAATCAAGCTTTAAGAAACTGCATCAACTGCAGTAAGGGTTGAGCATTCAATCAGTCCAAAATAATTGGCCAGGTGACTTGGTCAAACATTATTAAAAAAAATGGCAAGTATGGAAAACCACTAATTTATCAGAATAGTAACAACAAAAAGTTAACACTTTATGGTCTTCAATAGGCTTAGCTTTAAACACTTGTGCCTAATTACGAAACAAAAGTTATTTAACTTAGAAAAATGTGAAGCACAATGAAAACATTCTAATAAATAGAATTACTACCTTTTTAGCAATGTGAATGTTATGCAAGAAAACCTCTGTGTAAGCTGGTCTCTCCTCAACAGAAGTTGGTCCAATAATAAATAATACGTCACTCACCTTTGTTCCTCTAATATCTTGGGACCAACAGGGCTACAACACCACTGCATACAACAGTACAAGACTGAAAAGTTATAAAAGAAAAATTAAACAGAAAACAAATAGCATATGTAAAAAGTGATTTTTTTAAATGCACATATGCTAGTGAGTAGCAGGCCAACTCTTCAAGCACCTGGCTTTTCATTTATCTTTTTCTTCAGCTTCAACTACTTCACCTATTCCTGCCACCAAATTCATCATTATCGCTTTCTTCTTCATCCGATGAATACTGAGTCAACTCTTAATCTGCCATTTTCTTCTCTAATATTAAATTGTGACACATGGTCACCAGCTTCCCAGCACTGGCGGTCTTCAGTCTATTTCTGGTTTCTGAATGGATGAGGATTCCCCAAACTGACAAGTTTTGTTCCGCACATGCAGTTGTACCGTCAGAATTGTTTGCACATTTGTATATGCTTTAAGATTTGCAACAGTCACTAAGAGGTCACAAACTGAACTGAATGTGTCACCAGAAAGGTCTTGGCTCTAGAAATGTGGATCAAGAAGGTAGGCAGCATTATGTGATCACTTGGCTTTTCCATGATACTGTTTTGTCTATTACCTTTCCTCTTCAGCTTTTGTAAGTGGGTTGTGTTCAGTATTCTCAAAAAATTTATCCATCAGCAACTCATTCTTACCATTAATGTTTAACTATAATTTTCTGTAGTCTGAATGGACTGAGCTATAGGGTACAAACAGTGAAATGAACTTTGAGCTTTATATTCAAGATATTGAGACTGTCAGCGCAGAGTACTCAGGGGCAGCACTTGGCCACCCCTTTTTCCAACAGCTGTGTATTGAATGACCTTCTTGAATATTTGAAGATCTTGGAAACATTTAATAGAAGATGCCCATCGAGTATGACTATGCTTACTCTGTGTGGATGATACTGAGTCCTGTACTCAATAACTGAAGAATGGCTGTTTTTTCAAAAACTTGAAAATGCTTTTCACTTTTGACACATGATGAGAAATTGTCAGATCTCGCCAATGAAAAACTGCATCATATGGACAGCACATAAACAAAGAAGGTGTGGACACATTTATTAAAGCCCAAGCAGGTTTCATATTAGCCATGTTGTTGGTACAACCAAAATAACCTTCCCTGGAGCCAATTCATTGATTACATTATTACACTGGTCAACAATATATTGGGCTGTGTGGTGATTCTCAGTTGTGCACTGAAATGAGTAAAGCACTGTGGAGTTATCATGAAGTTGATGGAGCACTCTGACTATAGCCCCATCCATCAAATACTAGAGACACGTGAGGAACTTGCACAGTAAATACACCAATTTTTTCACATTGTCTGCTTTGGCATTCAGAAGACTCCCTATAAACTGTATCCTACTTGGTACTTTGTAAATAGGATGCAAGTTATGAAAAAATTCTAGCATATAAGGATTTTTGATGGTATGAAATGGTATATTGCCGGCATGAACACCTCTACCAAATGTAGTCAAGTTAGGTTTTTTCTGATCATGGCACATTTTATCCAAAAGCCTCTTAAAAACGATTATGAACATCTGAATACTTTCCAGGAGTAGGAGTTTTCAATGTTGAAGCAGGTGGAGTATCAAAATACTTATCAGAAGACTAAGAAGTTGAATTAGCTTCACTTTCACCCATATGACTCTTAACAGAAAATATCCCTGCATGCTTCTTGATGCTGCCAAAGACAAAGTTGGAGTGCACAGAAGAAAAATTTTGATGCAGACCAGTTTTCCCTTTCTTGCTGTTTGACTGCAATAGTTTTGCTAGTAGCTGGACACATCATGAGAATTCATCAGAGTTTCTCCATTCTATCTACGTGTCATACTCAGGAGACCAGAACTTGCACTTTGCTTTAACGTTTTTTCCATGTTAATGTCTAGTAAAAAAGAAGTTTCCATACAAACGATTCTGGCTTTCCCCAACTCTGCATTATTTATGTCACTGTTAATGTCTTCCTACTTCTGGAATGCTTTCCAGATTATGAAGTATCTCTTGTATTTCAACCAACCAGTAGCCAATTTATTCTCTATCTGCTGCTGTTCCGGAAGAATCCAGCGAAACAAAACATTTTTGGGCATGCTGCCCTCTCCCTCCCGGGACCTTTACAGAATTCCAGATCAGATGAAAGGGAGAGACAGCTCTTCCTCCCTACAGCAAACACAATGGATTCATAGGTGGCAGCAGCAGGAGGAGGAACAGCAGGAAGGGAGAGGCCTTTACTGAGATGTGATATTAGAATCCACTCATTAGCACAGGACTTTTCAGATTATTGGCAAGGTTTGGTTGAGATTAACTGTGTGGGCATTATAAAGGAGATCTTTGTTGAGAGGGAACTAGTGGAAGTTTATTTACATGGGCATTTAATGTTGCTGTTTGCTTTGTTGAAGTAAGGAAAGGTGTGTGTGGGGGGGTTAATAGCGGAGATTCTTTTCTTTGTTTTGGGAGAGGTTTAATGGCTGTGTAGCTTCTCTTTGTGTTGGGGAAGGAAGTTTAATGACTCCCTCCCCAACTCCAGAGTTAATTTCTTACGTTTGGTCAGTTTAGAGTAGACTGTAAGCTCTTCTGGGTAGGGACTATGTCTTAAATTTGTTTAATGTACTTTATAAACAGCCATGTACATTGATGGCCTGGTATACAAATAAAAGAAAAATACACACAGAGTATTTGTTCTATAAGGTTCTAACCAGTCAAGATGCTCAATTTTCACCTTCCAACCCTCCCCCCCACCCCCCGCAAACAGGTGGCATTAGCATGTAGTAGAGTGAGCAACCAATACGCTCAAGTTGGCTAGCTAACTTGTGGCATCATGGTTTTGCTGCAATCAAAAAGGTAGGATGCCAGCTACATCAGACTATTCTTGCTGGAATACTTGACAGTGGTTAAGTAGGCCTTCAACTGATTGGCTTGCCAAGTGCAGCACTGACCTCAAAAGCAAGTTTTAATATCCCAGAATGGTCTACCAGTAAGAGAATGCTGGAAGTCAGAATTGTGCAGTGGATTTCACAACACTTCCCTGCATTATTAGTCTTAAAACTTAACCTGCTAGTTTACTGACTTCACACCTAGAGATTCACTGTAGGTTAAATTCTAACCAGGCATTATCCAAGGTTTCTCTTATTTCAGCCATGCTTGGCACAAGGACCTGCTATAGTAGTAACTGTTACTGCATCAATGAAATATAATCTAATACAGCATATGCATTGTGAAGGTAAGATTGAAATAATTTCCTTGCTCAAATAGCTGAGTTTTAAAAGCAGCTAGAAAACATATTCAAAGTAGTCCCTAGGGCTTTTCCAGAAGAATTCAACAGTGTTCAAACCGAAGCATGTTTAGTCTCAAAAAGAAGTTTTGGACAGCAATTGCATCTGAACATTTCACAACATTTCCCCGCAAAATCATTATCATCTAAAAACTTACGTTTTATACCAAGAAGTCTAAAAACCAAGAATGTCCAGCCACTTTGAAATGAAAAGATGGAAAATTGTGACTTTCTGGGATAAAACCTTGAAGTACAACAGCAGTTCAAGATTATACCTAAATTTGAGCAAGACATTCCAGGCTTATTGGTCCTTTCCCTGGACTTTGGGCCAAGTGAGGCTGAATGCAGTATGTATTAACATTAGAGGAAGCCAAGTGATGAAATCATATCATTCACAGTTTTCCATTTTCACTGCTGGACAGATGCAGAGTGGAGAAAAACCCACAACACTCCTATAGCTGGAACAGAGCAGAACCCAAAGTCTCCAGATACTGGCCCTAGTTAATGAGGACTATCGCTGTAAAGTGTTAGGTCTAGGATTTTGGATTGTATCACTTATCACATTCCCAACACCAAGTCATTTTCTTGTTTTGGAAAAGGGGTTAATGCGGGAGCAAAAGATGCAGTGGTTAAAATGACCCAACATCCCCAAAAGAAATGATATGAAGAACAAGGACATTTTGGTTTAAAGTTAGTAGTCAAATTCTCCAAGGACGTCTTTTTTTTTTTTTTTTAAACAAACAGCCAAATGTGTGTTTTTAAACCACCTCCTTGATCTAACACTTAAATCACTGGCATTGTCCAATTTAGTGTTTAATTTTTTCCTGTAACGTCACTTGGTTCTTGGCTACTAACCTTTCATGTTACTCTTGGATTTGTCAGTTTGCTTGCCTGTGGGGGTTTGGGCCTGCTGCCCCTGCCCACTGGAAGAGGCGGCTTGCTGTGCTGCTTTCTGCTTTAACATTGTCCAGTCGAATGTGTAGTCATATTGGTGGTTCAGGGTCCTAGAAGACAGGGAAACACTTACTGCAACGTGACTACCTTACTGTGAATTTCAAGCCAGTCTGCTGAGAAATGAAGCTAGAAGTTAATCTTCAAAGCACTTTACAAAAAACAATGAAGAGCAGTGTACAAATGCTAAATATTACTAACTGAAAGGAATCCTTGGAGTAAGTCAAAGCCATTTGGTAATATCTGCTTCCCTCATTCACACAGATATCTGCATCTGTAGAAGTACTTCTGCACAGCCCAGCTTCTCCTCCTGCCTGCACTGGAGTCATGATTCTTCCTTTATATTGTCTTATAGGAGAGATTTCTGGTGCTACAAATCATCCTACATGAATTTATAAAATTCCAAAGGGCTCAGATTATAGAGGGTCAACACCAACTTCCATTATTTAAAGGCACTTTATAGAGAAAACAGTTGGTCTTATGTTCTTGTTTGCTTCTTTACAGTGTAAAAAGTATTAATGGGTTTTAAAACACCATTCCCTCAAATAAACTTCCAGGACACCACCAGCAGATCTATATGTAGCCCCAATCCTCACCGCACCCAAAAGCTTCCCATCGCTTCTTCTCGTGATCCAAATCCCATAATCCTCTTGCCACTGAGAGTTGCTGGAGATGGTGGGATGTTGGACAATTTCAGCCATTTTGGGGGTTGAGGATGAAGAGGAATCAAAGTCACTGATCTACGTCATCGCCAGGGCGGAACAGATCAAATAGAAAAGATCCTCTTCCTTCACAGCCAGTTTCATATTGTGCCACATTTCCTGGTTTTCTAAAGTTGTAGTTTGCATGCTGTTTCTAATTTTAAATGATTTCTTGAAGTAAACTTAGAAGTTTCCCCATTCCAGGAATTTAAAAAGAAAAAAAAATCTCTAAAGAAGATTCATGAAGCAGTTATTGTTCATTTGAATGCTGATCCGATTAGATTTCTAAATTATGCTATATTTTTAGACTGACCTGAAAAGAATACGGAATAATTGCCTCAGATACATGTAATCCGGTGCCTCTTCAAAGCGAAGGCCACGACAGTAGTTCAGGTACATGGCAAATTCTGCAGGAAATCCCTGTAAGCAACAGCATTAGTCAAACTATGACCCGCAATGAGGAGCCATTTGTAAGGATTCAGAAATCAAAAAGCCATAGCCAATGTTTAAAGGCAGAGTTTAAAAATGGATTTGGGTCTTAGGAGAAGGCAATAACTTAAGTCTCTGTTTTGGCCCCATTTTGCTCAGGATGCTCATCAGATCACTAGACACCCAAGAATATATTCCTTTTCCTGTCTTAATTCACAGGACCTTAATATGATGTATGCAACGTAAAAATAAAGATATATACAAACAGCAGCATTTAATTAAAACTGAAAATATACCAAATGCTTTATTCTTTTATACCTTTCCCCTTTTATTCTAGTTATGCTTAGTTCTTAAAAATCCTTTGCCCCAACAGAAGTGGTTACAGTTCTTCAGAAAACTCAGTTACTTGTACAGGCTATTTTGGGGGTATTCTAAGTAACAGAAGCTACTGCTTAATGCTCCTTGGGACCTAATCATGAAAAAGTCTACTTTGAGAACTGGCATCATAATGTGAATTTCTGCATAATAAGTGCTGCTTAAACGCCCTATTCTTAATAATAAAATAGTTATTTGCATAAACTAATGCTTTAGTGTTGTAAGAAAAAAAGCAAGAGGAGGGAGAATTCAGTGGCAGATACTTGTAAAATTTGTCATCTGTAGGAAGTAGAACTACTTTTCCAACATTCACTATACGGTGATTTGCAGGATTGCAGAGTTAGACCCAAGGGACTCTTGGAGGACACCTAACCAACAACATAACCTTACCCTGGAAATGGGTAAAAAGCAGGCATCTATGCCTTTGCTTTTGATGCCATGAGGTGCTGACATCTGCAGCCCTGGAGAGGGTACAGTGAGTTGGTCCTTTGAAATCCCAGATGACAGTATTGGATAATTGTTTTTCTGCAGTCAGGCCTCTCAAGTGGGATTCCACAGGGGTCCATTCTATTGCTTCTTCTACTCAACAGGTATAGGAGACTATTAGGAAACACAGGCTGCTGAGTGTTCCCTCACAGCACTGGATGAGAGACCTCTGTAGCTTCATCTCATCCAATCTTTCCCGTGATGCAAGTATTCTATTTGTATCTCAATGAAATACTTTGAGAAGAATTTGGACGACACTCAACCCAGATAAACCTGAGTGTTTACATGGTGAGAGCAAGAAGAATTGGCAAAAGTGAAGATTTATATTGTTCAGACCCCCCAAACCGAGGCTATGCCTGCCTTATTTATATTTGCAAATTAAGGATCTTGTTAGATTGCCAGCTGCACCTGCTGTTCAAGTAGCAATGGCTAGCAGGAGAATTCAAGTGAATAGAGAATGCAGTTTATTTAAAGTGCTTTGACCGTGTGTCCAACGCACTGGACATGTCCTTTGAGTCTCTAAGGAATGATGTCATGCGGTGAAATAAAATTATTTCCATTTACTCTTACCTTACACAAAACCTCAACAGGAGTGGACATCTTCTTTTCACTAATCTTTTCATACTTTTGCTTCTTTGTTGCAGCCTGTGGAACATGTGGGTCACAATATAAAAAGATGTTGTGCAACACTGGATTAACAAGGACAGTAGCAAAAAATAAAAATCAAACTGACAGGGAAAGCCCTTTGTCAACCAGAAGTTTTTTTTATGTGAAATCTCCAAGTCCCACATACTTATTGCACAGGGAATGAAGGTCAATCTGGTATTAAGATTTGGACACAGTTTAATACCATTTATTGCAGTCTAAGGCTTCCATCACATGGCACAACTCGTGTCTTTCTAGCTGCTGCTTTTGTCCACTCAGACCCTACTTGAATATCCATTTGCAAAAGTTCCATTAATTCCAATTTCTGAACTCCATTCAACTGCTGCCTCTACTTTTTAGTGAGAAACCATTACATTAGATTGCAGCTGGAAAGTTCTAGCATTTTACCATCAGATTGCCTGTTTAAAAACTTACTGGTTGTGCAGCTATAACGCCCCCTGAACAGCACAATTCCCATATGGGAAAGAAAACTAAAATACAGTAAAGAATAAGTCTACACTATTCAAATCACAAATTCACCATGCTTTTACATGATGACCTCATGTTCTGACATAGGGTAATGCAAATGCACACCTGAGTTAAGCTTTGCGTATGTTTCAATTAAGATAGCCATTCAGCTAACCCACAAACGAGACTTAAATTCTCTTTTTAAAGTTATACTTTCATATCCTACATAGTTACTGAGACTATTAAAATAATCTTTTATATCTATGTCTCCCTTTCCAAAATGACCTCAGCCTTGGATAGGAAGAGTACTTTTGCAAGGCTGATGTAAGCCACTGTTTAGCATAAATTTAAAAAGTGAAACAATACACACATTTTGCATACTGCATGAGAAAAAGCAGAGGCCTTCTCCTGTCACATCCAGTAAAACTAAACTTGGAAAAGAGCTCTGAGTTAGAACTGCACAGATCATTTTATGCAGGCTAGTAGTCAAGAGCATCCATTACCAGCTCTTACATGTTTAGAGTCTACAGTAAGACTGCAGACTGCATGGCCTACCTTTAATCCTTGCCAAGGCAGGCTGGTTCTGTTAAAATACATCAATACATAGCCTAGAGACTCCATATCATCTCGACGACTGTAGAGAAAAAAAGACAATCTTAAAAACTGCAAATGTTATCAGAACATTAAGATTGCACCATTTAGTGTTCATAAGAATCCTTAAACTAGAAAGTCTCATGTTTGTTCAAACTATTTCTAACAATGACACAAGGAATCAATGAGCAAAACGGAGAAAAATCTGGGATTAAGCTATGTTTCTCTACAAGTCATTTTAGAGATACTGAAATTTAGGGAAAACATGTAACAATCAGTCTGAAGGCTCCAATGTTACTTAGTTTTTCAAAGCAAGGAAAGCGACTTTCCCATTCAGCTCCTATTGACATTAGTTGCAGTTGTGACTAAACAGCTGCACATCTATGAAAATTTGTTCCCATGGAACTCCAGAAAGCCAAAGTGAAAAATTTGATAACCACAGATGCATTAACTCCTTTTAAGGCCCAGTCAACACTTGATATTCAGGTCAACAAACCTAAATCAGGAGTCTGTAAAATCCACACGAGACTGACGTAGCTATGACGACATAACAGCCAGTGATGTCAACAGAAGAATGCTTCCATCGACCTAATTATGGTCATGTGGGGACAAAATCCCTAATACTCCTTTCCAACAGAGCTATGCCAGTATAGTCTCTGGAGTGTACACACACCTTAAGTAACTCGGGCAGGAAACTGATTTGAATTAGTGCTATTTTAAGAGACTTCTATAGTCTTCCTTATTTACATCTTTGACCTACTTAAAACAGTTTTTCCTTGAACTCTGCTTTTATTATGGGGCTTACTGTAGATTCTGATGTTCAGTTATATCACCATATTTAGACAGGGAGCAGATGTGACTCCTATATTTAAAACACACTTTTAAACCATCAAAAAAGGGGGAAAAAAATGTAAGAGGAAGCTCCAGTGCTATTTGCAGACTGTATTAAGAGCCTGCTGCTGAAACATTGTTTCCACTAGACATGCTCCAGCACCAGTAAGCCGCCTCAGACCGTATCACACCAAACATGCTCCACAGATAACATTTTCCTGAATCATTCTTCTGTGAGAGTATTTAAAGACAGGTGCAATCCACTGCAGTGAGGAGGTATCTACTCCACCAGTCTTCCTTCTTGGCAATGTCCTCTCTGCAATGGCAGGGAAGGCCTCTGCCCTTCTATATGCCAGCCTGCTGATGCTGCCTATTTAACATGGTCTGAACCAACTAGTTGTGTGTCTACCCACAAACCCCAGTTCATCAAACACACCTCCTGCCAGGCTGTTATTCTGCAGGTAAGCTAGATGGAAATGGGTTCCCTCCTTCCGCCCACTAGGGGTTAAAGGGAGAGGGGAGATGAGAGAAAGCTTTTTTTTTGGGGGGGGGGGGGGGGGTTATTTAATGAGACTGTAGTGAAGGAGCATCTACATAAGTAGATTCCAAAAGAATCCACATGTGCATGTAAGACAACCCTGCCCTGCAGAGCTTACTACCTGAGAGAATACTCCGTGAATGTACTTACAAGGTAGGATGGAAAAAAATGAGGGTGACAGCAGTCAGACTGTGCAGTTTCCTAGACCACAGTGTGCAAAATGTGCTGGTTCTGAAATCATTTGTTTTTTCCATTTTAAAATAAGCACTAGCAAAGCCCAGTGACCTCATGCATAGACATGATGTGCTTAAGAGCTTATATGGGGGTGGTGGCAGTAGGACTCTGGGGGAGTTTTCTCTGAGCCCAGGCAGTGAGGGGGCAGCATGCACCTTCTCTGTAATTTGTTTTAAATGGATTTTTCAATGCCATAGCAGTACAGTATGAAGCCTGGAATTGACAGTCTTGTACTGACATTTCCTAATAAAGGCTTCATTAGAATCCAAACGCACGTAAGTGGACTCCAGGATATCTGGCTTGTAAAGGATGAGATGATATCACCTTCTGTTATACTAGGTATTTATGTTACTTCAGTAACAGCTGTCACTACACTTGACAGAGCAAACCCTGCAGTAGTCTCAATTTAGTACTGTAACTGATGAAGGGTTCTGCTGTCAAGTTTCAGGTCTCCTCCACCTTCACATGATTTACAGCAGAGGATCACTTAGTGACCTCACTACTGGCTTAGTCTGAATGTTTTAGTAATTCTTAGAGAGGGGTAAAAGAAAGTTTACCATTAAACTAGAATTCCAAATACCAAAATAGAGGATGGGAGAGCTGCCAGACAAACTACTAAAAATAGCCGCAAAGAATGCATAGTCCTTTTTATGATTACTGCCTCTACCTTCAGATCCTGGCTTATCCAAATCTACTTGGGATGCAATGTATCAAAACCTGCGTTAAGAGCATGTGTTCACATCAGAAGTTCTAATGCCCACATTCTCTATTTGCCCCACATGTCTAAGATGTTAGAAAATTGTCTGAGAAGAACCACCATATTTAAATTGCTATTCATGACCACTGCTACACAAAAAAAAGCCATAGAGGAAGGAGGTCAATATGGAAACATATGGACCTTTCCTAAAGTCTATGGTACTAAGCCCTTCCCACATGCTCTGAATAGTCAGTTATAAGTTTTGTTACAACTGATGAGATAAAAATAGCTGCTCAAGCTATGTTTTAATAACGTTCAAGCTCTGACAACAGACCACAGGGAGCAAAAATTCAGGAAAGGCTAACTACTTCAGGATATGACCTATTATGGCTCTAAACTAAGTCCTGCAGCAGGACTGGGATCCCGCAGGACCCACTGAAATAACAGCAGGAGCAGGTAAAATGTACTTTGTTGTGGGTGGAGGTAAAAAGCAAACTGCGATAATCTGAGGGAAAAAGATTTTAAAAAATTTAAATAGAGGTTTTAACACTGAAATTTAAGCGAGGGATCAAAAGAGATTTGATGTCTGTTATAACAGGAGTGAAGTATTTTTTTTACATCGTTTAAGCAAGATTTGTTTCATTCTTTTAGTAGTAAACACTGTCTGAATTCTGTGTGTTCTTCTGAACAGTTAGAGGAGTGAGCACTCTCTCCACTTGATTTCTGGAGGAGTGGAGCTCACGCACACAGAGCAAGTGATGCACTCTGGCTCGAGGTGGTGCGAATCCACCCTTTTGATTAATGAATTTCAATATTTGCTTTGGAGAAGGTGGCTTGCTCTCACCCTTCTAGGGACAGGGATTCTACTAGAACCACAGCCAAGTATGCAAAAGACTAGAACAGAGGAGGAAAGCAGGGGTACCGTGATCCTCATAACCTAACAATTAATGACTGGGGGAAGACAAAGTAAAAATACCAGCACTGAAAGTCAGTATAAAAAGGCCCCTGAAGCCAGTTAAGAGTTTTTCCCATTACTGAAACAAAAAACTGGGCTATGGAAGTGGATCTTTCAAGACCTTTCAAAGTGACAACAACAAATGCCAGCATAATGAAAAAAATTTGTGCTTTGAAATTTTATTCAGCACAAGTGTCTCTTCAGCCTGCAAGACTCACTCTTCAAGGAAGAAAATAAAGCACTTAATTAGCTTTCATACTCTGGCAGAAGCAGGCAGAAAGGTAAATATTTGCCAAGGGATGTGTTCACACATTTGAGCGAAAGTAGTTTAGAGACTTCTGAGTCTTATGAATGAGGTCAGCCATAGCCTTCAGGAGCACTGCAGTAATCCCCTTGAACTCACCTCTGCTCAATGCCAAGATGTGCATTGATACTGGCATATCGAGCTGTGCCAGTGAGATTTTTGTCTTCTCTGTATGGTATGTGTTGCCTTGTCCTGTTGTCCCGGTACTTTTTGGCCAAACCAAAGTCAATAAGGAATAACTTAAAAGAGAAATGAAAGTAGGTTATTTCTTCCAGATACAAGTATGTGGAAACCCCACCCAATATGTACTTTGTTTCATTAGGTCTGTAGTTAAACCAGAGGCAATAGTTTAAAGGAAGCAAAGTAACACTACAGTAAGTCTTACTTGCTCTAACAAGCAAACTCAACGTTTTAATATTCAGTTTTTTTAAGCCTTTCCTTTTCCAGGTGGGAGGGACTAGATTGTGCTACTCAACTCAAAGGTTTAGTCTTAAACATACTTTACTACTTTTCTAATCTGTATTATACTAAGGTTATGTCTACACTGTCCTACAGTTTGGACTATAGGGGAGTGGACAGTGCACACTGTAACTCCCTTGTACAGATGCTGTGGGTGTGAACTAAAAGGTTCTTACTTTGCATTCATGTAGTTCTCTTCGAAGAGGATTACATTAATGCACACTAAGGCGTCACAGAAGAGCACCCTGACACGCATGGCTATTCACACCCCTGTAGTGCAAACTGTGGGGCAGTATAGGCAAGCCCTTACTCAAGATCTGTGATGTGATTATTAGTTAGGAAGGGAAATGAAAATATGGTATGGCTATATGCATCGCAAAAATGTTTTTATCTGAAGCAATTTTGCACTACATACATTTAGATATTCACTTAATGGCAGCTCAGCAACTTAAACCCTTCAATTGTTTTGATGTGCTAGCATTTGTGCATTTTAATAGTCAAAGATCATTTTGCATAGCATAAAAGGCCAACTTCAATAGCAATGAGATATATTGCTTTCAGCCATACACCCATATTTTTAAGCTACTGATTAGAAGTCAGCAAGCTAAGTACCACAGAAGCATGAGATGCTTTTATTAAATCCAGCTGACTATATTCACATAGCCAAGCAGCTCTAGCCTAGTAAAAGGATCAGATTAAGATTTATTTCTACAGAGCCCATGTCAACTAAACCTCCCTAACTATCAAACTTAAATAGGAAGTATGTTTAACTGGATTCCAGTTAGTGTGGTAACAGTTATTGTATTTTTTTGTGGCAAAACTTCAGGCAGAATTTGGCAGCGAAGAATGAGACTGAGGTATGTAAAAAAAGTGTTTTCAGTTATAGATCTGGAATATTACTCTTCTGTCTCAGTGCTGAACAATTAAATCTGTTCCTTTCTTTCCTTTAAGATACTCAGATAATTTTTTAGCTGAACCTTCAAGTTTCAGCCTGATAACATGTGACACCCCACTGCCATAGATTAGATCCAGAGGCCAACAGAAGATTGGGGTCTCAGTCCATACATATGACAAAGGATTGAAGTGGCTGAGTGTCAGGCTATTAAGGGGGCTTTTGCGACTCCTATATAATTCGCAAGAGAACCACATTCAGGGTCTTAAGTTCAAAAGATTATTCCAGGTAACTAAGATAGAGGACATGGCTCTTAAATTCACTCAACAAGTGGGAAGGAAAAGACTGAAGGATAGTTTTACCCTAGTGTAAGGAGAGAGGGCTGCCTTTGGTACATCTAGGGTGGTAACACAAATTAAATCAACAATTCTACTGTGCGAAGAAGCTTCACTCTAGGGTGGCTGGCTGGTGATTTGTTAACTATAGTTTCTTCTGGAGAGCAATCATCAAATTCAGAGTACTCTTTAGCAGCCTGAAGACATGCGTTAAGTTGGCAGGGATAAGGGGTAATGTTTAATGCTGAACAACTTGGGGACATTCTGACATAATTTATACTTGTTTTATATTTAAGACCATGATCTTAAGAACTTGCTTTCACACAAATCTGCATGGAAATTTTTTCTTCCTTTTCTCTTGAGGGAAAGCTTTGCCTTACTGAAATTTCTTCCAGTAATTTGGGTTGCTGTTATTTCATGTTCCACCAGATGAAGCCACTGCCAGTCTCAAAAAAATCTCTATTCTTAAGCACACAACACAACTACTGGTAGAGACAACACCCCACAGGCTGAGCAGAAATCTCAAATTCTTAGAACTACTGGGACAATTTAATAAGTCCTAAAGTAGATGCTGTAAGGTTACACTTGTATTAGCATGCTACAAGTGCTACCTACCTTTGACATAGGAAAAACTAAGTGCTGATGTAAATTTATAGCTGGCCTCCACACAGAAAGACGGCTCCCATCCACTGTTCAAAGTTTAAAGCTTTGTGATCACATGACAACCACCAATATGATGCTTTGATCACAAAAGCTGTTTGTTAGAGTGCCCCCTTCCAGCAACAAATACAAGTATTTTATGTCTCAAATAAAATAAGTATTTTATTCCTCAGTGACTACATACATTCACTTAGTCAGAACATTTAAACTACACAAGGAATTTACAAAGTACTGGAAATACTTCAAAGTCTCAGCTGATATGACAGGCACTTTTGTAATCCTTGGGGTCTGCCATTAATCGCAAGTGCAGGAAGAAACACAGCCTCATGATATTGATCACAATAAAAGGTATAGCCACACACAGCAACAGTCTTTATAGTTCTTTAGGCAAATTCTGTATTTTTTCCTGGAGTTTTGTTCCACATGGCATTTTAAAGCCTACCTGCTGCTGCTTCTTAAAAAAAGAACAAGCAAAACAAAAAAAAAAACAACAACAAAAAAAAAACAAAAAACCCACACTTAGTTGCAGGAATTTTGTGATACTCCATGCTTCCTGCTACAACTCTTATAGACCTGCTTAAATGCATATTGGGCTGATACGGCTGTTGTTCCCTACTCATATTTAAAATTTACAGACAGCAATTATTTAAAAATGACCTAATCCAGTGATGTATAGTCCTGTTTTACACTGATCAAGTAACTGGAATCTGTTATATTCCACTAACTTTTCCCCCCCTCAGGAATTTAACCTAGTCTCCAGGAGTGGGACAGCAAGTTCAGCCACCTCCCTTCTAGACTACTATGGGTTCAATGGAGTAAAGTAGTATCTCTCAGTGTAGGAGGCTGGGATCTCTTCAGAACACCCTCTGACCCAATTTTAACAGGGACAGACTCTTCCATCAGATGCCAGTCAGCACTAACAGAAGAGCCATCATAGAAACAAGTTCAATAGCACCTTGATTTGATTTGAGGTAGAAGGGCAGGGCAGCTGCAGATGTAGAATAAAGATTGCCTTGACTGACATGTTTTCAGAACTAGATTCCTAATATCTGTCAGTGAGGTGCAGCATATGTACTACAGAACAACTACAAGCAGTGAAGACTACTGCTTCCGCAAGCCACATACCAGAATAGTACGCCTTACCAACCCAGGAGTTGCTTTCTGATCAATTTCCATTTAGTTTCAACTGCATGGTTAGAAATAGGCACAAGACTTGCTTTCCCTTTCCAACCATGTCCTCTCTCCTAGCAGCAAGGAACCCTACACTTAAGATTTGAAAGCAACAGGCAACGGGATTATCCAAGAGACAGGTTTATCAGGGTAGCCTCATTTTATGAGCACAGTCTTAAGTCATGAGTGACCTCACACCACCATTTGAAATGGATTTACCAAGCAAGAACTGCATGGGAAGGGAGACTGACTGAGGTGATCAACAGGATTTCCCCATATCTGAATGCATTCAGATACACAGCATGCACCCTGCTTAGTGGGCATGTGTACAGCCCTATGCAGCAAGTCTGGCTGCTACGTTGCTACCACTTTGAAGGGGTAACCTAGACACATCAGGACATGCAACGAATTGCACTAAAGTTTTATATACCAAACTAAAAACTAATTTCTGCATTTGACTATGAGGCATGTACATATAACCCATTTCACATTTAAGTTTACAGAAAACACTTTACAGTTTAGACAAGTGCCACAGGGAAACATCTTAGAAATGTTACATGTTTGCCAAGTATGTCTGAATAATGCCAACATAAGAGGTGCTTTTGCAAGGTCTACATTGTCCAGAAACAAAAAACAAAACAAAAAAAATAAATAAAGCACATGAATTTGGGGTTGAGGTTGGAATAGGAGACAGTTTCAGACCTGGTTTAATCCTGAGAAAGATGGGTCCTGAGAAGTACTAACAGTCATGCTTCTTTTCCTCTTCCCCACTGGAGATTCTAAACACTGAACAAACAATAGAGGGTGGCAGTGCATCAAACAGTATTGCTTACATTGCAACAATGGCCGGCGCAGACAGGCAACACCGAGGCGTTAGAGAAAGAACAGGGTAGCCAAATGCCATCCTTCTTCCACCAAGCACTGTAGTTTTCCAAAATAGTTAATTTTTTTTTTTTAAAGAGAATTTTGAAAAATGTGGCAAGATAATTTTTGAATACGAGCCACTCCATAATGGCACTGCCTTAAACAGGGATAGCAATGGTGACATTTGGCTCTATCAAAAAAGGAAATTGAAGCTTTGCTTACAAAAAGCATTCTTTGGTACCACAAACTGCCCTTCCCCAAAAGACATTAAGAAAAAGTAAATCTTCAGTAAGGAAGAGGTAGAAGGCATTTAGTCACCTTAAAGTTTACTTTCATAAGCATGCAGGGCTAATTTCTAGCAGAGCTGAAAGTTTACCTTTTAAGGTAGGAACAAATTACTCCCAAATATCAAATTGAGAATAATTTAAAAATTGATCACAAATTTAAATTGTGACTACATTTAAAAAAAATATATTGTTTATAATTGACAGGAAGCTACTGGAACAAGATTACCATGGTACCCTAGTCTTTTTGTGACTGGCATGTCCTCAAGGAGTACGTACAAAACTATTAAATACGTAGCTGCACTTAGCTACAAAGAAAAGGAACAAAACAGTGTATTATATCTGGAAGCAAATGTTTCTAAAATGGAGCAGCCATTAGTCCAAAACTGAAACAAAATGTCCCTTTTCAATTTGGCTTAGGTAAAGCAACAATTTTACATTCTTACATCAAAGACTATTTAATAAAACTCATGCCCGCAACAAAGAGTGTTTGCCACAATTTCATTGTGTGGCTCCCTAACACAAATAGCAAGTGGCATTGACTAAAAATTCATGGTCTGCAGACAATTTAGGTTTTCCACTCAGCTGATGTGACTAACATGCTCATCTAATAAAACGAGCACAGCAGTATTTTCTAGGCCATTATTCCATATCAAGGTAAAACAAGGAGCTACAATGCCAACCCAGCATGACTGTGCAAAAGTGTGGGAAAACGGCCAAAAACGAAAGAAGTTGGAAATCAGAGACTGAAACTAGTAAAAAAAAATTAAAACAAGCTATTTTAATTTTTTATAATTATATTGCCAGGTCTTGCCAGAGAATTAAAGAACCTGACTGCTTTATAGCAGAGAAAAATAGAGCTCTATAGAGTAAAAGTATGAAACTTGGGAATGAGCAAGGTTTAACAGCAACAGGATTACATGAAGACTTTACCTTTCAATTGGACTGTTACAAAAAGATTTTCCAACAAAAACAGTTAATCTAAATGTTCATTGTGCACTGCACCCCTTCAGACAGAACTCTGATGTTTCTCATGTTAGCAACCAATTTTGTTTCTAATGTTAATGGCTTCAAGTTGGCATTCATACAGGCAAACAAAGGTAAACATTTTATAGCTAATAGTGCCCAAAGATAGTAAACATCCTCAGATAGCATATAAAGAACATAAGTGGGAATCTTGCTTCCAATAAAAAGCTTAATTATGTACGTTTGTCCTGAAGTTAAAAATTTCTATTAAATAGCATGCTTACTGCATTGCCAATGCTGCCTGTCTGCCCGAGCTCAACATAAACAATTGAGAATGAAACATTTCACTCAACAGAACTAGTCACTGAAAACAGTATTTCTCTATGCAAAGTTTCCAACTGGAAGCATGCATGTCTGGCTAAGTTAACCCCCCTACCCCCCCAAGTTTAAAGTTAGCAACTAGAAGTCCTCCCAATTTAACTTAAAGTATTTAAGATCCAGTAAGGTCAGTTTTGGTGTGTGATCTTTAAGCATTCAACTAATCTACATTTTAGTACTTCTCCAACTTGAAAGGTTTGCAGAAATTCAGTTACAAACACAGTTTAAGTCAACAATGCTACCATCTATAGGCTGACAGTTATTTTTGTATTTATAATCCTGAAGATTGAAGGTTTCATTACCAATCATTGCAAACTTTAACACCTTGGTGACAGGTAGGTCAGGAGCTCCTACACTGGTGCAAATACATTTTGCATCAAGATATCAGTCCTGGAGCCAAGAGTTAAGACTTGATTTTAACATTACGGAAAAAAATTATGCTATTCGGATATTCACTAACTTTGAATAATGAAACACCATAGTTGGACAGAAAATGTTTAGGTAATCAAATTAGTTTACACTTCAGATTTTTATGTTTAAAAACAATCCTGTCATTAAATCCTCCTTGTGGGGTGGGTCAAAGGCCCACATGTTCATGCTACTGCATTTAGCAATACACGTAAGGAAATCCCACCACCTGGCATCAAAGAATTAAACTGATTTAGTCTCTTTGGCATATCTGTTTCAGCAATGACAAACAGTTATCGCAAGCTGAATAGCTTTTTTCAAAATCTGAAGTTTATCAGTACCATTCTTAGAGGCATTACCCTCCTTGTTCTTACATGCAAAGAGCATTAGACTAACCTTATTACAGTGACGCCCGATACCCATTAGGAAGTTATCTGGTTTAATGTCTCTGTGTATAAAATTCTTTGTGTGCACATATTCAATTCTACTGATCATCTGTAAATAAGAAAAAAAATAATCAGAATTTAACATTAGAAAGAGAAAGCTAAAGATCAAAGATATTAGAAAAAAGTCCAGTGGTTTAGTTCAAGTTCATTTTCCTTACTAATGAATTAATTATAAATTGAGTATTTAACCAAGTACATTTTAACAAATAATCACAAAATAGATTTGTCAAGTGACGCGACAAACAGTTTGATGAAAATAATCACTGGTCTGTCATCACTTGACCAATACTACAGGTCTTCAGTGTAAAAGCCTCCAACTGTTTCACAACTGATTTATTCACGAATTTAAAAAAACCAAACTAACTAAAGTTACTTTGTTTACTACAGGACTGTTTTAGAATCTTTTCCTGATATTGTCCGACTAGGAACTAACTCATTAACAGTTGGTTACTCCACATATGCCTTTTAGCTATTCTGGTTATCTTAATTTGCTGGACAATAATATTATAGCATTAGGAAGGTCTACATTATGGGGACTATTGTGGTATAGCTACAACACCATCACTATGCTGGCATAACCCCATATAGCAATGGAAGGTGTTTTTCCTGTCACTGTAGGACCACCTCCCAAGCAATGGGAGCTAAGTCAATGGAAGCGTTCTTCCATCAACCTGGATGCACCTACCCTAGAGGGTTAGTTTGGCATAGCTATGATGCTCAGGCATGTGGATTTTTTCACACCCACGAGTGCGAAAGCTATATTGATTAAGCGTAGACCAGGCCTTAGTGAATTACAAGTGTCAATACCGTAGCAGCTCTCTAAGCTAGTAGCAATCCTAGTGGACTCTGTCCCAGTGGCCACCTTTAAACTTACTGTACTAAAGTTCCTATCCAGCAGTGCGTTTGAAGGCATTCCTATTGTCCCACAGATACTCAGGTTTTGATTCTTTGAGAATAACCTTTTGTTTTACAACATTTAAAGATGCTACTACCACAGCAGCCAAGAGTGGTTCTCCCTCTGAAGTGAGCATCAGTGACTAAAAGCAGCTGAGAACAAGGACAGTTGACACCTATCTCCACTCAGAAATGCTCTACCCTTCCTTGGCTGACAGCCTGGGATTTCATGACCATTTGGCAAAGTGACAGTTACTACTAACATCAGTTGGATAATCTTGGATAATTTTCAATACAAGTTTTAAACTCACCTATATTTAGGTCCATCTAACCCTGGCACTCAGGGCATGAAATTTTTCACAGCCCTGAGTGACTTAGCTAGATGGTTCTAATTTTTAAGTGTAGACCAAGCCCTAGATTCTATGATGGAATATTTCACGCCTAAATAGAGAAGCAAGCGAAGATAAGGCATTTCTAAGGCACTCACCACTAAATATGTAAACTCAACTCTAGAGATTTGAATTAAGAGATAGAAGTTTGGCATCCCCATGTTTGTCACTAAAGGACAGCAGACATCCCAAAACCATTCAAATTTGAGAAGACTAGAAGTCAGGATATCAAGGATGTAACAGGTACACACTGACGTGCAGTGGCAGAGCTCGACGGAGAAGTCTATATACAGCCTGCCAACAACATGCTTGGCTGAAGCCTATTGGAGTGCTTCATTTAATCAAATTAACCCAAAATGCTGAGGATTGCTTTTTACCATTACCAGTACTTGACATCTGTGATGTAAGTAAAATAAAATTAAGAGCATGACTTTATAAAGCATTAACACTAGCATGAGAATACTAATATTTGTGTTACATTCTGAGTTCTCTACAATGCTAATCTTATGCTCTGCTATACCACAAAACTGCCACGAACACTGTTCCTATTTTTTGCTTCTATGCGAGTCAAATAGTCACTTGAGTATACAGAGTACCGGGTTGCACACATTCTGACATACTTAAAAGGAACATTATTTGCTTCATTTTCCTTACAACGCAAATTTAAGTTTCACATACCTGGTCTGCTAACATAAGTACTGTTTTCATTGTGAACCTGCGGGAACAGAAGTTGAAGAGGTCTTCAAGGCTGGGTCCCAGAAGATCCATAACTAGAACATTATAGTCTTTCTCTTGACCATACCACCTGCAATGACACAGAGATGTTTAAGTTATTCTGTTTAAGATAATACTACAGATTGTTAGTTTAACAGTGAGGTAGCCAGTTAATATTTAAATTTTAGAAGATGCCAAGTAGTACTATGTTTTCCCACTTCAAAATAACAATTGATATTGTTGATGCATAAATGCAATTAACTAGACTGTTTTACAAAGTGTTCAGTATTTATAAGCAAGCCCTGGCTACCATTAGATATGGAGTTTTTTTGGGACAGTAATTTACTTTGATGTAGATTAGTGGCAATGATGCACTTCTTTTATAATATTCATTTTGTTTAGGTCTTAATTGGATCAGCCCCATTTTGTTCTTCCTGCCATTGATTTCCAGAAAGCAATTCAAAATGCTGGCCTTTAACGATGTTAACTCCCATTCTCTTATTAACCACCAAAAGCACTGACTAAAAACAACCCACTGGCAGTTGGCCTTTACAAGCTGAATAGTTTAATTTTTTTATTATTATTGATTATTATTAAATAGAATACCTTTTTGTAAAGCAAGCAGCAACAGAAAGCTCTATAGCAACTTACTGAGTCACCCTACTTTCTGGAAAAGCACTCAACTTTCATAGGACATTGAGCAAAAAGGTTTTGTTTGTATTTTAATAAGGTGTGCCTTCAATTTTCACTTCAAACAAAGGAGTGTCAAGTTTCCACCTGCAACTCTCCCATCCCTCTTAGTCTTCAACTCGATGTCTGCCACTTTCTGACAGAAGAACATTTGAAAAATACCAGTGTACCAAATTAAAAATGACAGAGCAAAGCAGAGGTAGCTGTATGAACGGTAAGGTTCAAACCATGTTTGGACTGGCACCTTTCAAAGGTATCACCTCATTTCCGGTGTTGCTTCTTGTTGTTTCCAGTTTCACCCCAGAGAAAGTTCACATATAAGCAGTCTTTCCAGAGGAGAGTTGTACAGTTTTTTTCAAGCTATGACTTTTTTTCACTAGATAACAACAGGGCAAGGAAGTTAGACTCCCTCACTACACATTCATCCAGGTTTTTATTGGCAGCCATCTTTCCAGCATTTGAGCACCCAGTAGATACATTCTGTTCTAGTAGAAGAAGCTGATAGAAAATCTAGCGAGAGATCCTTGCTATACTTAAGACAAAACTAAGATTTTACTAAAAGTAGGAGTTTAAAATTCCAAAAGCAGATATCTAAAGGCACTGTTAAAATAGAATACTAAATTACTTTACTCTGGACCAGGCAGATCTTGCAAGCCACCAGAGTGTCTAATCTCACAATTCTGAGCAAGGACATCGAGAAATAGTAAGGAACGACTTACAAAAAGCATATCTATCCTTTCAGCACCAAGGGAAGATCTCTTCGCATCCACAGTATTCCTGCTAATGTGTCTATGGTATTTCACGCCATTGCATACTATTATCCTACCAGATATAATAGTGGTTGATGGGAGCACTTAAAAATAATTCCAATTCTTCCCTTCAGAATGCTCAGTATGGCAATGGGCTCATCTACATTGAGAGTGCTCAACTGCGAAGTCCCACAAATCTTAATACTTCCCTTCCATCAGGGATAACATCTTTTTGAGGGGAACGGAAGAGAGGAAAGAAGGAGTGACAACCACTACTGCTTTCTCTCCAGTTCAAATAGCACCTCTCCAAATAATTCCTCTGCCTAACCAAGATAATTGGTTGGATGAAAGTCAGGAAAAGGGACATGCTTTAAAAAGTTCTTATCAGGATTCAGCAGTTTACAGCACATATGTCCTCCTTGCTCATTACTGCTTGACAAAATGGTCATGACAAAAACCCTCTGCCATTGACTAGCCAGAGGTTGCACCTCATCTTCTCAAAGATGGACCTAGCTACAGTAATCGTACTTTTGGGACCTTCAGCCTTGACTACTGGAACTCTGTACCTAGGTCTTTCAATGGACATACAGTCAGACACTGGAAACTTCAGTTATACAAAGCGAAGAAAATAAGATTAACTTTTCTGGGATCTGACTAATATGGCCCTTGCCATAGCATTAGTAATAAATACCCCCCAAAATAAAGGTAGGTGAACAGAGTACTAGATCAAGTTCTGACTTAAGCCCCAACTACCATATGTCTGTATAACTCCCGTAGCAAATACCCACTTAAGGAGAGGACTCTAGGAAAGTAAGTTATCACAGATTGATCTGTCCTCATCAATATTGACTCCATCAACCCAGATCATGTGTTTCAGTACAGCCAAATGCATGGTCCTACATCTAGGAACCAAGTTCAGGCCATGCTAACAGGCTGGGGGCTATATCCTGGGAAGCAGAGTCTGAAGAGGACTTTAGGGGTTGTGGTAGGTAACCAACTGAATACAGGCTACCAGTGTGATGCTACAGCTAAAGAGGGCCAACATGAATAGGAGGATTAAGGAGGCACTGTATATGACACTGATGAGACCACTACCAGGCAGGTGTCAACACTTTGAAAGGACTTAGACAGGAGCCACAAGAATGATTCAACGTCAGAAAAACATGCCATACAGTGAGGCTGGAAGTGTAACTTATAGTTTATGGAACAGAAGGTTGAAAGACAAACTGATCACATTCTTAAAATACATACACAGGGAGAAGATGTAAGAGGCTCTTTAGTCTAGAGCAGCAGTTTTCAAACTGTGGGTCGGGATCACAAAGTGGGTCAAGACCCCGTTTTAATGGGGTTGCCAAGGATTGGCATTAGTCTTGCTGGGGCCCAGGGCTGAAGTTCAAGCACTCCAGCCCCGAGTGTGTGTGGGGGTAGCTTCAAGTTACATGCCGCCTGCCTGGGGCTGAAGGGATTAGCCATTGACACCCCCTGCCCTCCCTCAAGAGCAGTGGAGCTCTGGCTTTGGTCCTGGCCCCCCTGCCCAGGGCAGCAGGGCCTAGGCTTCGGCTTCAGTTCCCCGACCTGGGGTCATGTAGCAATTTTTGTCAGAAGTGAGTCGTGGTGAAATGAAGTTTAAGAACCCTTGGTCTAGAGACTTCATAAAGAAATCTAATGGTTGGACGTTGACTTTACAACAAAAAAAAAATGAGTTGTGATATAAGGCACAAATTTGTTATAATGGAAGTAATTAGCCACTGGAATACTTTACTACAGGATGTGGTTGATTCACAATGAACACAGGTCTACGTCAATACTGGATGTATGGAAGGTAAGCTCTAGATCAACTACAGGCTATTGGGTTCAATGTAGAAATTACTGAGTATGCCAACCACTAAGAGCCTATACAAGCTGGCATCCTAATAGTAATGAACCACCTATATTACCTAGGCAAATCACTCAAATTTGGCATGTTACCTAGACACATCTACACCATAAAGTTTAAAGCAGAGCAAAGGCACTCCTGAGCAGTGAACAACTGGACTGACATGAAGGAGAGATCAGTTTGGCTTGGGACCAACTATCTTGTCTTATAATGAAACTTGAAATTACTTTTCAAAGAATCCTTTAGTTGTACAACAATTTCAGGCACTCTGAGTCCATCTGTTCTTTGGCATAGAAGCTTCTGAACCAGTTATTCATGATGGTCTTATGAAGATATAGTAAAAAGCTCAATTAGCCATTAGACCAGGGGTCAGCAACCTTTCAGAAGTGGTGTGCAGTCTTCATGTATTCACTTAAATTTAAGGTTTCACGTGCCAGTAATACATTTTAAATGTTTTTTTAGAAGGTCTCTCTCTCTATAAGTCTATATATTATATAACTAAACTATTGCCATAGGTAAAGTAAACAAGGTTTTCAAAACGTTTAAGAAGCTTCATTTAAAATTAAATTAAAATGTAGATCTTATGCTGCTGGCCCGCTCAGCCCGCTGCCAACCTGGGGTTCCCCTAGGCCAGCAGCAGACTGAGTGGGGCCTGCAGCCAAGACCCTGGCTGGCAGGAGCCGGTGGACGGAACCCCAGACCGGCAGCAGGTTGAGCGGGGCTGGGACCCCAGACCGGCAGTGGGCTGAGCGGCTCAGCCCGCTGCCAGTCTGGGGTTCTGTCCGCCGGCTCCTGCCAGCCAGGGTCCTGGCTGCCGGCCCCACTCAGCCCGCTGCTGGTCTGGGATCCTGGCCCTGCCTACATAGAGTGGGTACTACCTTCTCCCTGGTTCTAGCCCATTCTCTTCCTCTCTTTCTGCACTGAGCTGTGGGTGGGAGTGCACTGAGCACAGGGCTGGGGGTAAAGGAGCAGGCTGGGGGTTGGGGTGTAGGGTCTGGCCATGAGCTAGAATGAGGGAGGGGGCTCAAGGTTGGGGCAGGAGGGTTGGGTGTGGAGTGCTTAGCAGGGCAGCTCTCATTTGGTGCTAGGGGTGCAGGTGGGAATGTGTTTGTGTGTGTGTGTGTGGGGGGGAGGTTTGCAGGAGCTCCCGTTTGGTGCTTGGGGTGGTGGTGGGAATGTGGAGGGTGCAAGAGTCAGGGCATGGGGTGTGGGAGGGGCTGGGTATGTGTGGGGGCTGCAGGAGTCAGGGCAGGGGTCGGGGTGCTTAGGGGTCAGGGCAGAGGGCTGGGGGTGTGGGCTAGGGTCCTGGGGGTGCTCCCAGCCCTCTGCTCAGAGCAGCTCATGGCAGGGGCTGGAGGGGATATGTCCTGATTCCACCCCCCCTTCCCCAAGACCACGTTGCCACCTCTTCTCCACCTCCTCCCCGGAGCAGCAAGCACACTGCCACTGCGGCTCCCAGCTCTGCTTCTCCCTCTCCCTCACAAGGGCCATCAGCTGATCAGCGGCAGGGAGGGAGAGGAGGAGGGGCAGGAACCCAGCACACCAATGGAAGAGGGGGGGGACTTTGCCTGCCCTGCAGCCGGCAGAACCAAGCTTCTTCACCCTGCCCCCGCAGGGGGGGCGGAGAAGAGCAGGCCGGGGCGGGCAGGATTTTTAATGGCACGCTGCTTCCTGCCAGGATCCTGGTCACCAGCCCAGCTCAGCCAGCTGCTGGCCTGGGTTCGGCAGCGGGCTGAGTGGGGCCAGCAGCTGGGACCTGGCAGGCAGCAGCGTGCC